GTCTCTGAGAGAGAAAACCCTTTCGCGGACATGTCGGTTGTAGTATATGGCACCGCTTGTGATCGGGCTTCTTCACACAAGGAAGAATGTCCGCCCAGTTGCCTTTTGCATCCTACACCTTTTTTCTCAACAAGTTCAAGATGATTTTATTGGCCACCTCGGTCTGGTCATTGGTTCGTGGGTGATGAACCAACGCGAATTTGAGGCTTATTCCTTGGTTTTGTCAAAAGTTTCAAATTTTCTTGTCTACAAACAGATCATGTTATATGTGATGATAATCAGTGGTAGGTTGTAGAGGTGGATCAAGTCGATACAAATGAAGTTCTGGACGTCCTTTATGACTCGAAAGTGGGCTTTTGTCTCGATCCACTTTGAAAAGTAATCCACTACTACCAAGAGAAAGTGTTGTTGTCCTTTGGCAAGTGGGAATGGTCCCAAAATGTCCAAACCCTGAACTACAAAGGGCCATGAACTAGTGATTAGTTGTAATTTCTGAGCCAGCTGATGTTGTAACAAACCATATTTTTTGCACTGTTCACACCTCCTGAAGAATGCTTCGGCATCCTTAAGTAGCATCAGCCAAAAATATTTGTCACTGGACTCGATGCACCAACTTCTTTCCTTCAAAAGGGCTCTAGCATTCCCCGGCGTGAATATTTTGAAGGATGACCTCTATCTCATTTTCCTTTACGCCCCTCAGGTACATTGACTTCAATGATTTTTGGAAGAGTGTTCCCTTCATCAGCACGTATTGCACGGCTTTGTACTTGAATCTTCTAAGATTTGTGACTTCTTCCGACACATTCTGCGTTTCCAAGTACTTGACGTATGGGTCCATCTAGCTTTTGGCCTGTTCATCCTCCACCATTATAGCCTAGGATTCCTCGATGACTGGCCGGTGGAGTATTTGTCTCTTCCTTTCCCAAGCAAACACATCGGGATAGCAAGGCAACCACCTGATTTTCTTCCCTGTCGAAGTGTTCAATCCAAAAAAATACGAATTTCCAGATCTCAACCTTGGCTTTGCTGAGGTATTTCATCATCAATGCATCTCTGGTCTTGAATTACCTGTTTATATGGTTCACCATGAGCTACGAATCTGACTTCGCAACAAGGATTTGGACGCCCATCTTGTAAGCTAAGGCAGGTCAGCAATCAAAGCTTCGCATTTAGCCTGGTTCTTTGCACCTTGAATTCTACCGCTATTGAATGACACATGCTTCGGTCTTATTTGAGGTGTCATCCACAAACAGGATCCACTCCTATCGCCCACTTTGACTTTCTTCAATTGGGTTCCCCCGCTCTGAGAAATCTATCAAAAAATTTGTGATTACCTAAGCTTTTATGGCCATCCGAAGAACATAAGTGAAATCGAACTCACTTAGTTATACTCCCCACTTAAGTAGCTGTGACTACAACGCGTGATCCGTGATTACTATGATTGGATGTATCTGGAAGTAGCACCGTAACCTGCGAGCAGACACAATTAGAGCAAATTTTAGTTTCTCCATAGTTGGATACTCAATCTCTACCCCTCGGAGAACGAGACTGGTGTAGTGAATCGGGAATTGCCTTCCCAACTCTTCCCGATCCAATGTGGAACCGACCTCCTTAGCTCCCATCCCTAGGTACCAAAAGAGCTCTTCGTTCGGCCTCAGGCTTTCGAGTGGTGGTGAAAATAAAGCATCCTTAAGGCTCTAAAAGCCTTCTGGCACTCATATGTCCATCGAAAACTTTCGGCTTTTCGGAGAGTTTTGAGGAACACAAATCACTAATCACCCAACCTTGAGATAAACCAACCTAGAGCTGTGATCTGGTCGGTTAACTATTGAACCTCTCGTGTGCTCCGTGGTGCTAACATGTCAATCAGCATTTGGATCTTGTCAGGGTTCGCTTTTATGCCTTCGGGGGTCAGGACGCAACCTAAGAACTTACCAATTGAGGCTCCGAACGTGCATTTTAAGGAGATCAACCTCATATTAAATTTTTAAGTTTGAAATTTTTTTTAGGTCTTTTATGTATTGTTCTGTCGTTCAGCTTTTCACAATAATATCATCGATGTACACCTCTATATTCTTTCCTTTTTTATTCTTAAAATTACAACTATTAAACGATGGTACGTGGCCCCAGTATTCTTAAGCCTAAAAGGCACTACATCATAACAGAACACTCCCTCAGTAGTAATAAAGGCAATTATTTCAACATCCGTCAGGTGCATCCTGATCTGGTGATACCTAGAGAAAGCATCCAAAAAGCTCATCACTAAGTAGCCTACGGTTGCGTTGATCCTCAGAAGCAGGTAGCAATCCTTCAAGTATGCAGCATGTAAATTGGTGAAGTGGACACACATCCGCTACTTCCCGTTGGCCTTATGGATCATGACGACATTCAAAAGCCATATGGGGTAATGGACCTCTCAGATGTACATTGCCTCTAGAAGTTTTAGCACCTCCTCCCTAATAGGCTCAGCCAGTACGGTCACTGAGTTCCTTGCCTTCTGCTTAACCAGTTGAACTGTGGAGCTCACGTTCAATCTGTGGCAGGCAAAATCGGCGGTTATCCCATGCATCTTTGCGGCAGACTAAGCGAAGATATTGTGGTGGTTGTGAAGCGTTTGAATTAGAAGATTCCAGTGTCCTGCATCAAAACTATCACTTATTAGAAATGATTTATAGTTCATCCTCGTCAACTGAGATCTCCTTAGTGGCCTCACTACTCTTGATGTTGCTCTCCTTCCGATTCCATAAGTCGAGTGGCTTCTGTTCCACGATTTCAACCACCCAAAGGTAACAAACTAGTGAAAGCTCTAGATTTCCCATGATAGTGATTATTTCGTCGTCTCTTGGAAACTTAACTGCAATTTGGTAGGTAGACATCTCGGTTTTGAAGCGATTTAGTAGTAGGCGGTCAAAAATGGCATTGTAGGTTGGGGCGAGTCTATAATCAGGAAATCTTTCGTCTCTGTGTACTGCTTCTGTTATTCGCCCCAATTGTCGCAAATGGCATTACCCGTAGCGCTTCCTTTCTTTCACTTGAAAAACCAAAAGGTGGGCTGGCCAGTGCTACCATCCAGTCGACCTAGAGACAAAGCTTGTCGAATACTATCTTGAACAAAATGTTTCACAGAGCTGTTAGTGTCCATGATAATACTCCCGACTTGAAAATTTCTAATCATCCCCGGAACGACTATAGCTTCGTTGCAAGGGTTTCATTGTTAACATGATGGGAGGACAGCCTCCTCCCCTCTGCATGGATGTGAGGTTGCACAGCTAACCTGTCCTAGTCTTCTTCTGAGAGTTTCGTCGTGTGGCATTCGTGCCCTAGAGGATAGCCAGGACTACCCCGACGACACAGACAACGCTCATCTGAATGGGTCCGAGCGAAGTCTCTAACTCAGAAACCTTACTACACCTTACTCATTGCCTTTCAAGTTGTGTGGATCCGACACCATCTAGGTTTGATGCTTGCTCTATAATCGGGGTGGGTTCTCATCCCCTGTCTTCCTCTCTGTATGCATTCCTCGATGTCATCCAGTGGAAGATTCACTTTGGATACTATCGTTTTGTTGCTACCTTCTCTTTGTGATCGTTGCGCTCCTCTTCTTGTCAACAGCACAGCTCCAAGCTCACCGCACCTTTTAGGGTGTTATACCCCTGAAGTACGCTGGTATGGCGAGGATATTATAGTCCCTATATGAATATTACCCATGGGACCCATGGGTGTGGTCGGGCGGCTATGAAGTCGAGCAGTCATGAGGCTGGGTAGTTGTTTATTGAAGGTCCATATCAACTATCTTAGAGCTGGAGGATTCATTTCACTTTCCCGATTTACCCCCTCATCCGTCTGAGATGTGCCCCCCTTCTAGTGCGTCGATCTAGCCGACAGATTGTGTGATTTTAGGCCTTCCTAGGTAGATCCAGCGGGAGCACGTCACCTCCTCCGTCATTCACGAGATGTCTTTGTGATTCGTGTTAGCCTATTTTCGATGTACATTGAGGGTTCTCAAACAACTTCCCAATATTATAGTAGGGGCTCTCGGGTGCTTGTTATTTTGCATTACTACTTAGTATTATGGGCTATCAGATATCAAGGCAAACAACAAGTTCATTATCATTGATCAAACTTGTGGTTGGCCAATCACCCTCCCATCCCTTAGTATGTCAACTTAAGGCATCCATGCCATAACTAGAGTACGCCGATGGTTAGATAAACTCAATCTAGTTGTTCTGTAAATGGAAAATCCTCATGACCTATAATTTGGGTGGTTGGGGTGTTCATTATATTAAAAATCCTCCCCTTAAGAACAATCGTAACCCGAACTAGATAATCATAAGCACGAGTAACTTCAAACCGCAGAAAAAAAAAACAATTGAAAGAAACCAAAGTTGCCAGGCAAAGGGTGAATTCCATTTGACCTTTTTTTCCATACAATAGGTTGTACACGTATGCAGAATCTTGATAATATCCAGTCATTGGATCTCTTGTTTTGGCTTGCTCCATCAAAAAAGCAATTCAAAGGGCACTAGTCAGGTCATCAATGGCTAGGAAAATGATGTAACAATTTTTTTTTTTTTTGTGAAACAGATTTTCCCCATATCATCCTCCAAGTGTTTTGGCCGAATAAATTGAAACAGAAAAACATTTCTCTTGATAGAGACCTTGAGGCAAACATAATGCGTCAATCAAACATCCATAGTCAGATTTAAATAAATAAAAAAAAAACAAGCAAGCAATAGAACCACCATGCCAGGCTCAGAATTCACAAACATAATATTGAAAAATAGCTACCAAACGAAAACTATCAATGCCAGAACCACCAACAACAGCAGAATTCCAACAAGCCGGTCGGTGCCCCTCCAAAGCTTCACCCTCATTTCCCAACGAATACCACGCAATGAATGAAAAACATAAAAGAGAAATACTTTATGATTCAGATAAACTTTAAAAATCTAACAAGGTCCCGGATAACACAGCAGAGAGGCACAAGGATTTGAACATACCTTAAAGAAATAAGGGGAAGATGAACAGAGCGCAACACCGGAATAGGGCCGCTTAGATTGGAAGGGACGAACTGAAGCGAGATGATCCTCTTATTCGAAGTATTTATATGGAGCGCCTCGCCCACTGTGGCGATTCATACTCCCGAGGAAGAACGTCGTTTTTAATCGGTTGATGCTAACCGAACGGAAAAGATGACTTGCAAAGGCACGCGTACGTCGCACGCAGCTTGACTTCTGACTCTGAGCCCACTGTTTGTACTCACGATTTACATACCTATACAAATATCTCTAAAAATAAATATTAATTATTATAAAGTATAGTTTTATTAGGAGTGAAAAAGATTATTTTCAAAATTTAAACAATTAAATAGTTTTATTTTAATATAATATAAAAGATTGGAGTGTTATAAATGTAAAAAAAAAAAATTTAGATGTTGATATGAAATTATGGAGGAATTGAATGATGTGTATGTAAATGCCTCTAGGTTATGTCAAGATTGAAAATAAGAGGCAAAGTTTTATTATAATATAAAAGTTTAACAAATAAAATTTAGGCTCCGATGGGGCAGCGGTCAGGCAGTTGCGCCGCGTGCAGCCTCGAATTTAGGTTGTTTGGGGTGGCGTTGTATGCCCGTCGGGGCACATTTCTCCTAAAATACAGGTTGCGGGTTTGACACTACGGCTTGCATTTCTCACGTAATTTTTTACGTCGATGTTCTCATTTCTTTCTTGATTCAGAAATCGGCTGCCCTAACCCGCGGCCCGAACTCATTTGTGATCTCACGCTTCCTCTGTGATTTCTCGCTTCCCCTTCCCTTTCTCCCTTCAGCTTCGAGTAGGGTTTTGCCGCACATCCCCTTACCTAGTTCTTGTAGTCTCTGTTTCCCAACGGTAAGCAACGTTTTCATTTCAGCTTTTTTTTAACAAGAATTCAAGGAACCGTGAAACGAAAGATTTGAGTGAGTTTTTTGGAAGCAAGCATCCATGTAAATGCTTGTTATTTGGATGTTTTGATTTTGGATATGTAAACACTTAGGAATTCGGTGGTATGCATGTGAATGTTTATTATTTGTGATATTGCTCATCCAAGATTTGTTATCAAGTTTCTTAACAATAGACAAGATATTGTTCAAGTCAATGTAAATTCATGTCATAACACAACACAACAGTACCAATAGATAGAAAAGCTCCATGTAGGTTACCATCAAAAGTATCAAAAACTGAAGTTAATGTGAAAGTATTTTGTGGTGTGTCTATAGATGAAAGTTTAGGTGTGAAATATGTAAAATGCATAAGAGTTTTGTGATATGCATGTAAATGCTCCAAAATTGTTTTGTTGCAGCTCTAGTGGTGTGTTGGCTTTGTTGGGTGGCGGTTTGTTATGATCTATGTGTTTTGTCGTGGAGTATGACGTGGTACTACGGTAATTTCTTGTTTAGTTGATATTTCTGTTAGTAAATTCTATGTAAAAAAAAAAGAAATTTAGCTGTTAAATATGGCAATACATATAAATTGGGGGGTTTGCATGAAGTTCTTAAAAAAAAAAAAAAGGAAAAAAATTGTTTACAAATGCTCGACAAAATTCCTTTAGGGGAGGGGGTTAATTTATATAAATGCCCCTTATAGATTGGTGAAGGTGGTTTTTTTATGTGCAAATTTTAGTATTATGCATGTAAATATGAAATTTTATTAGTTGTTAGTTATGTAAATACAAAAGAATTGTATGGCATGTATCAAAATGCCTTTTCAAGATTAGTGAAGGTTGTTTTTTGTTGTGCACAATTGACTATTATGCACGTAAATATGAAATTTTAGTTGTTTGAAATGTAAATACCAAGATCTATGTTGCATGTAGCCTGGGGTGGTGTTTGTGGCTTGGGGTGGTGGTTATTGCTCGGGGTGAAGGATTTATGGTTGTGGCTTGGGTCAAAAAGTTTTGGTTGTGGATTGGGGTGTAGGTTGTGGCTTGGGGTGATGCTTGTGGCTTGCGGTCGTGGTTGTGGTTTGGGGTGGTTGTGGGTTGGGGTAATGGTTTTGGGCAGTGGCTTAGGGTGGTAGCTCTGGCTTGGAGTGAGGGTTTTGTGGCTGCAGTTTGGGCCAAAAAGTTCAGACTGTGGATTGGGGTGGTAGATGTGGCTTCGGGTGATGATTGTGGCTTAGGGTGATGGTTTTGGGTTATATCTTATGGTGGTGGTTGTGACTTGGGATAGTTGTGGGTTGAGGTGATGGTTTTGGGTTGTGGCTTAGGGTGGTCGTTGAGGCTTGGGGTGAGGGTTTTGTGGTTGTGTCTTGGGCCAAAAAGTTTTGGCTATGGACTGGGGTGGTGGTTGTGGCTTGGGAAGTTTTGTCTAGTGACTGGGGTGGTGGTTGTGGCTTGGGGTGATGTTTTGGGTTGTGGCTTGGGGTGATGTTTTGGGTTGTGGCTTGGGGTGGTGGTTGTGGGTTGAAGTGATGGTTTTGGAATGTGGCTTGGGTTGGTGGTTGTGGTTTGGGGTGATGGTTTTGTGAATGTGGCTTGGGCCAAAAAGTTCTTGTCGTGGATTGGGGTGAGGGTTTTGTGGAGACTTGGGATGGTGGTTATGGCTTGTTTGTTATTATATGCTTGTTGGGTTGTTGATATCAATGAGGAAAGTTTCACTATAGCTTATTTTGCATTTGATTTATTTTGTCAAGCCTGGTAAAGTGTATTTTTATGTGTAATTTTTTTACTGATCTTAGAAATGCTCAATTGGTTGTGGCTTGGGGTGAGGGTTTTGTGGTAATTTTTTATTTATGTAACTTTATTTTTTTTAATCTTAGTAATACAATGACTAATAAGACCAAAGATGCTAGTACACCCGTAATGTGGGACAAAGAAATCAAAATAATATTTTGTGACATTTACCTTAAGGATATCGATCTGGGAAATAAGCCTACTACCTATTTCAACGATGAAGTGTGACAAAATATTATAAAAAATTTCGAAGAAAGTACAGATAGAGAGTATGACAGGATGCAACTGAAGAACAAGTAGGATCAACTCAAGAAGGATAGAAAATTTTGGAAAGAATTGAAACGAGGATCAACGGGCTTGGAGTGGGATCCGTTAAAACGAACCATTAATGCTCCCGAGAAGTGGTGGGCAGAAAGACTTGCGGTAAGCATTTTTTGACATATCCTCTAGTTTGGTCAATTTTTATTATTTTTTAAATTGAAGTATAAGTTATGAATTTATAGGCGGTGCCCGCTACAAAGAAATTTAAAATTTGTTGAATTGAGCCTGAGTTGGAGGAGTTGGATTGAATGTTTGGGGGTGTCATTACAGTGGACAACTATGCATGTGCCCTCAACGAGACAAGGCTCGGTGGCACCCTTGAGAACATTGAAACCCAATAGTTAAATGATTCAACTGAAGTCTCCAGCCCGGAGCACCATGAACTTGAGTCCACCTCACGTTCTAAGCATTCGAGGGTTGAGAATGAAAAGAATGTTGGGGGTGCTTTACTAGAAGCCATATATCATAACTTGTGTCCACTTGCAACGCTGATCCCCACACACCTCATGCAAATTCTATTGAGAATGTCCTGAAGATTATGAATGGATTGAGGGAATTTTTTTAGGGTGAATCGGTATACTTATTTGCAATATAGTTGCTTGAAGATCAAACCAGTAGAGATTTTTTCGTCAAGATGTCTGATGCCTGCAGACTGACATATCCACAATGTTTTTATGATCACAAGAACATTTGAGATGCCCTTTTTATTTACAATCTCTTGGGAAAATAATATTTGTGCATTTTTTCATTATGATTCGAATATATCAACTACTTTGAACTTTGCTTATTCAGTGCATTTTATTTATTTTTTTATTATTCGTAACCTTATGTGATTGTAGCTAATTCATTGATGCTTCTGCTTTAAACACCACGATACTAATCTACATGGATGAAACTGAAAGAAGACACTGAAGGAGAATTGCAGCTATCATATGCTTGATCTACGAGTATTACAAATCTTACATTGATTGTTCTCCATGCATGACATCCTCATATGTTGAGGATAAATGGGTTGGGGAGTTACTTGTGGGCCACCCAACGGGATTTAGCAATATGTTCCGCATGAGACGGGCAATGTTCATTGATCTGTTGGAGGAACTTCATGAATCTCATGGACATCATGGCTCTATTAGGATGACTTCACAAGAAGTATTGATGATAATCCTCTACATATTATCCCAAAATGAATCAATGCGAGGGGCAATGAAGTGATGTTAACACTCCTCCAAAAAAATTTATAGGTGCTTCTCGGTGGGGTCGAAGACACTTGTGAGCTTTTCTTCACATGTCATTAAACCTACTAATCATACGTTCGAATGGACCCTATAGAGATTTCATGCGATGCATGAAAGTTATTACATTAAATTTTAAAAAAATCAACTTATTACAAACACAATATTATTTTACTAGGATTATATTGAAGCAATAGATAGAACACATATTGGCGCACATTTTCTAAATAATGAGAAGTTTGCATTCATCAGTCATTTTGGGAGCCCGACACAGAATGTCATGGTCATTTGCGACTTCAACATATGTTTCACTTTTGTTATGGCTGGTTGGGAGGGCAGTGCATATGACAATAGAGTTTTCAAAGCTGTTGTCGGCACTATTTTTGGTGTGGGG